ATACATATTGTCTTATGCATTATGCTCACATATGAATATATACTTTTATGCATACTACTGCATTTCCACTCGCTCGAGGAAAATGAGTTCTGCAAGGCTTCATGCTCTTCTCCTTGTTTGCGAGCTGCCAGCTTGCCGCATGGCATTTGCGTCGGCACACAGTCACGCTGCCAGGCCTCCCAAAAGCACGAATCGGCGTAAAAGTCTGCAGAGGGAGGAGGTCTGACGAGACCCAGCATCTTCTCAGTCGCCCCTCCGGTCGAGAATGAGGCTGGCCGGTGAGTTGATGGGCCAAGATTGGACAAGAGACCGCCAGAAGTGGATGCGGTTGTCTGGGCCAGCCAGATCCTATCGCTCCCTGTCTGGCTTCGCCCCAGAGGGTGGCTGGAGGCCGACCAGGCCCTGCGATTGTGTTTATGACTCCTGCCTTGCTGGTCGAAAGATGGAACAATCCATTCAACCAGCGATTGCGCCTTATCGGCTCATCTGGCCGGGCCAGTGATGATGTGAGTGGGCTCGTTACCACATGACCACCGGTGCCTTTTACAACTCGAAGTCCGCCATGGTTTCGGTACGGGCCCCGGTGGTCCCGCTTCTAAAGGGGCCAAGTGCAAAATTAAGGAAGCGGTTGATGCGATGACCCTTTTTTGCTGTGTTTTTCCTGAGGAATGCTAACAACCGGACTATCTGGATGGGAAAAGTTGGAGAGTTGCGCTCTCGTCGCCATGGCAACAGACATAAGGCGTATGAAATTGGATGAAGAGGGTTGGAATGCATGAAACCACTGTTTTTTGCCGAATCAGCTGTCACAAGTTCATCAGCACTTTTGACTCCTGAGTTTTCACACTGTTTTATTATTGGCTGAAGAGTTTGATGCAAGCTCCAAGCAGATCTTTCTTTTCCCATAGCTATTGTGCTATGGCATATAAGGATTATAAGTTGCGTAAAAAAATAACTCCATGCCCAATTAGAAACCTGTAGGCTCATAATTTTCGGTAGCCCTTCGTTTGAT